TCAATACAGGTGATAACTGGAGCTGATGCACACTAGTGCCACCAATACAGGTGATAACTGGAGCTGAGGCACACTGGTGCCGCCAATAGAGGTGATAACTGGAACTGATGCACACTGGTGCCGCCAATAGAGGTGATAACTGGTGCCACCAATACAGGTGATAACTGGAGCTGATGCACACTGGTGCCACTAATAGAAGTGATAACTAGAGCTGATGCACACTGATGCCGCCAATAGAGGTGATAACTGAAGCTGATACATACTGGAAGGTTGTGGAAATTCTAATAATCAAAAGTCATCATTTTTTCCTTGAATACTTGATACCTTATATAAACCAAAATGTAATTTCCTCCCAAACCAGGTTGAGAAAGTTAAGAGGGTCAAATAAAACCTTTACAGGACAAATATTTCCAACCTCCCATATCCCATATTTCCTGCTGGCTATTAATATTCAAAGGCAGAAATACTACCAATAATGTAGACAGATTAAAATATTTGACTGGCATATATCATCTTGCAATATATTTTTTGTGTGATCAGTGCTATTATCAAGTTTCATGAAAATCACAATCATACCAGATATGTTCTTACTGTTCAGTTGGATGTGTTGATGCTGGGAAGAAATAAAAACAAAATGTATCATATGGTGAGCTATGATTAAGATAATTCGAAGCCTGTCTAAACTGATGGAATGCTCCTGTAGAATATCCTTACCGATATTAAAATGAAACATTTTCATCACAGTGACCAAGTATTTGTATTCAGTATATACCGTATATATCCTAATAAACGCCCCCGGGGCTTAACATTTTTCAGTATGCAAATGTTAGAAATTATCATAAAATATAAGGGTTTTTAAATGATATGTAGGATTTCGTGTAAAAATAGTCTATCTAATACCTTATTCAATGTGAGAAATGGAGGGGGGGGGTTATTATAGAGGGGGCTATTATTAGAATAAATACGGTATATGTAATAATGCTTGATTATCACAATAGAAGATATCCTTCTTGTTTTTAACCTGGATTTCCCAAATCACCAAAACTGAGTCAATTGATTCTAGTTTTAAAAGTTTATATCCAATCTGGTCAATTTAAACTGGATCAAATGTAAGAGTAACCATTTAACACTAAATCTTTCAAATTGTTAGAGTTTGAATCCAAAGCCCTTGATTATTGCACTTAGGTACAAAATATTATTTCTGCCAGTAATATATTAAAACAAGCGGTCCAAGGGCCTTAATGCTCACCTTAGTTACAATACTTCTAACAAAATATCATAAAAATGATTTTGTTAAAACAAGATATACAACTTCAATTATATTGTACTTATAATGGAAATGTAAATTATGTATACATTAACTGCTGTCTAATGCTAAGCCTTCTAACCAAGTTTGAATTAAAAGTAATTACATTCAAGATTTGAATTTTCCTATATAAAATCTTATCCAGGGACAGCACAACATCTTTGAAATTTCAGTAAATTAGACCCTGTTTCGGCCATGCCCATCAGCCTTGGAGGTAAGTCAAGGTCAATATATGCATCTCATCAAACTGTCAACTTATACTAATAAAAAAAATCCTAACCAAGTTTGAAACCATTTCTGAAAGAAAATAAACAAATTATGCTCATATATGTAATTTTCCTATGAAAAATATAGTAAATTTTACCCCTTCTCCAAGGGAAAAAATTGAGACCCCTCGGTCATGAAGTTTACAATTTTTAAAAACCACCATAAGAAACTTCCATCCATGAAGAGAACTTGGCTCTACATTGTAAAGGTATTGAGAAGAAATTTCAGTTAATTTGACCCATTTTTGACCCTACCCAACAGCTCCAGGGGTCAGTCGAGATCAATATGTTTATCTCATTAGACTGTCATCTTAAACAATTAATTCTAACCAGGTCTGAACTATTTCATGTAGAAACAAACAAAAAATGTTCAAAGAGGTGATTTTCCTACAATAACTGTAGTAAATTTTACCCTCTCTCCAGGGGGAAATGCGAGTCTCTGGGGTCATGAAATATATATTTTTGGTAAAGCATCTGAAGGCCTTTCCATCCATCAAGAGTACTTGATTCTACCATACCTGGGATTTGAGAATCAATTTGACCCTTTTGATCCCGCACCTCCAGCCCCTGTATTTTGGGGATTATACAATTTACAGTTTTAGTGCACCTTTAGCCATGGAAGGTTTTTGAAAAATTTCATTGACATCAGTTCAGGAGTTTTCCAGAAATCGAAAATGATAAAAGTTTACGATGCACGACACACAACGCCAGACAAAAAGAGATGGCAATGGATCACCCTGAGACTTTTGTCTCAGATGACCTAACCATATATAGGACAAAGCTATCAGGGATTTCTTGCTTAATGGTTTTGTACCTAGTGAACAACCAGTTTCCTTTGTAAACTCTGAAGCTGTTCATTTGTTCTGCCATGATAAGAAATATTAACCAGACCTGGGATCAAAATATATCTTGACTTTTGACTGTCAGGTAACTCTTAACCTAATAACTTTCCTTTGTGTCAAAATATCCACATGTTAAAAGACATGTTCACGCAAAAATTTGAACACTCTGTTGATTAAATATGAAATGTAAAGTACATCCGGCATCTGGAGCACAACATATGAGATCAGTAATTGATATAACACTAGTAAAACATTCTTCAACTGATTTTAACCTTGATTTCATCTCATGATATGAGTAAAATATAAGTCTGGAACACATCAAAACGTCAGGTTCACAATACATCCACACTTGATTTACAGACTAGGTTTATGGTATATGTAGTTCCAAATTTTCATGAGTAGCAAGGACAGGTAAAAATAATCAAATAAATGATGGATGGTGTATCATACAGACATATATACAGTCCTTCAGGGACATCACTAAACCGTTTTACTTCTGAATTGAAAGCTATATAACCTAGAATATCTAAAGGTTTCCCATTTAATATCACATATATTTCATGAGAATGACAGAATGTATATGATACCAAATGGAAAACCATGAAATATTCATTTAATTACATTTCTGATGGAAAAACAAATGAAAAAATAAAGCGGTGTTCAAAATGTTCCGAAAATATTTATCCCATTGGAGGTTTGCTCCTGATCACACACACTAAAAGTACCTGGAACTAGAAATATGATTGTGAAACATTAATATGGTTCCTCTTTTGCTTTGATGGGAAAATCTAGTGAGTATTTGACAGACCCTGCAAAACTTGAAAAAAATTACTTTAATTTCTGTTTAGACTGAGCAGCATCAATACTTTTGCTCTAAAAAAATCCACACAAAGTAGTACCATTTTATTATTATCAATGAGCGCATGGTATACTCCTGAAAATTTCTTAATCTAAACACTGATCTTAAAAGGTTAAAAGAAAAAAAAAATAAATCAAAGATCAAAAACATATACTTATTTTCCATTACAACTGCACAGCATTAATTTTGATTTAAAAAATATTTTCATGCAAAACATCAGCCTCACATTGCTTTCATAAATGGCATGTAAGAATCTGCCAAACTACTTCACCGTGACAGACGGCCGATGAAATCTCACCAATAAGAAGGATAACCTTATAAGTCAACAGTTCATCCTTATTTATTCATTAGTGCTAGACTTCTTGGATAATGATGTGAAATGGAACTGTATTCTTAAAGTTTAAAGGAAAACCCAGAGGGATCTTGGTGACCAGTGCTGGTTTCTATAGAAACTGACTCCTCCCCTTTCATTTCTCTTTTGCCCTTTTGTCAATCACCTAGTTTTTTTCCCAGTGAGTTCAAGAGTCTATAATACACAAAAATGGATCGAAGAAAATTGACATCTGAAATTCGAGAATGATCGATCCAATACTTAGATTGTGATAAGAAGAATGAAGGACAGACTCACCATGACGAAGGACAAAGGATCTGATTGTGGTTGGCTATAAAGCCATCAATATAGATCACCATATTCAACTTTCTATGATTTAAAGGGTAAAATGTACCAAGAGAAATTTATGCATGATCCATCCAGAACATTTCCAAACATTAGAATGATCCATCATTTCGTCCTGAACCAACACTGATAACAATTTTTATCTGTCCAAATCCAAGATGGCCATCTGTTAGTGTATCTGGTCTACCCTAAAACTGACCCAGCACATCTTCCTCTGAGAAAGATAAAACTAAAACTTCTAAAGAAATAGTTGTGATGAACTTTAATCTAGCCAAATCCAAGATGGCTGTCCGTCAGCAAAATGGTTTGTTCCAAACAGTCCAAAGTAATAATCATGCAGAAAACTGAAAAATGAGGTTGGAGAATAAAGTGACAATCTTGAACTGTCAAAATGCAATATGGCCACCTGCTGGCTATATCATTCATGCTTAACCATGGATAGAGAGAAGTCTATCAATCATTTGAAAAAGAGCTGTCTGGTGCTTGATGCTTCGTACGATACAGCTAAAACCAAATTTCTCCTTCAAAATCCAAGATTGCAGTCTGTTGGAAACATTGATCATGCATAACAAGGGAGAGCCTTTATACGAAAACTGAGATAAAGCTTACCAGTATTTCAAATGAAATATTGTTAACTTTAGCAATCAAAATCTAAGATGGCCACTTGTGGTCTGTGTCTTTTCCCGGTCAGTCTCAAAATTGATCATGACCCGAGTAGGAATATGATCAATATTAAATTATTTATCCAATACTTCTCAAGAAATAGACAGTTTTATCTATCAAAAATCCAACATGGCTACCTGTCGACCAAGTGAAAGTGACATGTGACTGAATTTTTAGAATGCCTCATGTACTTCTCACGAAAGAGAAGTATAATAAATCACTATTTCTTGACAAGTACTAGATTGATCTTTCTCAAATTCTTATCAATTGCCAATTCTTCTCGGTTTCTAGTTGTACAATATATTGTGCAATAAAGTTCCCCAAAATACTTAAATTTTCAAATAATTTTGACATGCCTTATATGACAGATAAAAAGAAAAACTCCCAATACGGCTTGTAGTGATTCATGCTTGTTTTTATTTAGCATATAACAAATATTAAATAAAGCTTTATCATATTACATAATTTTATCAACACAGATCTAGTTTATGGTTTCTGAATGATTATCATCAAGGCGACAGTTACAATTTCTCTAAAAACCTTTAATTTCGTAAAACACTTCTTTATTTAGAACCTGCTAAGGGCAGCCTTTTTGTCAGATGATCTTTACATCTACATCTGCAATATCATTTCCCCGCTTTATTTAAGCAAGAATAGAAAGCAATTATCAATAGTAAATATGTTTCAGCATTTTGATCTGTGGATATCCACCATTTATTTCATAAATCCACACCAATAAGGATACCTACAGAAATCCCCAGCGATAAGGATACTACAGAAATCCCCAGCAAAAAGGATACTACAGAAATCCCCCACAATAAGGATACCTACAGAAATCCACACCAATAAGGATACCTACAGAAATCCCCCACAATAAGGATACTACAGACATCCCCAGCAATAAGGATACTACAGAAATCCCAAGCAATAAGGATACTACAGAAATCCACACCAATAAGGATACCTACAGAAATCCCCAGCGATAAGGATACTACAGAAATCCCCAGCAATAAGGATACTACAGAAATCCCCCACAATAAGGATACCTACAGAAATCCCCAGCGATAAGGATACTACAGAAATCCACAGCAATAAGGATACTACAGAAATCAACAGCAATAAGGATACCTACAAAGAAATCCCCAGCAATAAGGATACTACAGAAATCCTCCACAATAAGGATATCTACAGAAATCCTCCACAATAAGGATACCTACAGAAATCCCCAGCAATAAGGATACCTACAGAAATCCCCCACAATAAGGACACCTACAGAAATCCCCAGCAATAAGGATACTACAGAAATCCCCCACAATAAGGATACCTACAGAAATCCCCAGCGATAAGGATACTACAGAAATCCCCAGCGATAAGGATACTGCAGAAATCCCCAGCAATAAGGATACCTACAGAAATCCCCAGCAATAAGGATACTACAGAAATCCCCAGCAATAAGGATACCTACAGAAATCCCCAGCGATAAGGATACTACAGAAATCCCCAGCGATAAGGATACCTACAGTAATAAGAGTAAAGGACATACCGGTTTACGGAGAAAATATCTGTGGCTGGCTTGAAAGACAGCATCGCTTTACACAGAACAATATTATATAGTATTTATGTACAAGTATATAGTATTTATGTACAAGTATATAGTATTTATGTACAAGTATGTATCAATTTTGATTAACATATAATTAAGGAGTAAAGTGTTTTAAAACAACACATAAGCAATGTTTTTCCTATTGATGTTGCATCACAGGAAAGAACAACCTACCTGAAAATTAATTCAAACTGCCAAATAAAAGATAATCTGTTATTCATTAGTGTATTTCTTCATTTGTTGTTTGTTTATTCATTTATCTATTTTTTATATAATAGAAAAGTCTGAAAGTCAAGACTTCTTTTACCACCATATTTTCCAATAAATTTGATGTCATTTATCTGAAGTCTGTAATTGTATGTAAATAACACCATTATTATTCAATTTTAGCACTACTGATATGTACAAAGTCTATCATTGTAACTTAAACTCCATGTGTGTATGTTATATATTTCTTTTTTTTCCTCAGAAGCTTATTTCACCTCAGCAACAGCACAATGATGTCATTACTCCTCTTCATGTTGTCGTCATTTTAAATGATGATGAATTCACACTGATGTTAACAACAATAATATTGCCACTAATGTTACATCACTGAGTTAAGCATCAGTAGTAAACTTTATTAGAATTAGAAGATCAGAAGAACAGTCCCCTCATTCTGCGACCCATTCCTTGGCGATCATACATCACATTGAATTTGTTCACAAACTGAAAGTGAAAAAGATCCAAATGAGACAATGCACTAAAAATGGTTTTCATAATTACTTTTTTTGAAGTGAATTAACACTTATCATAGCAAGTTACTGGCACAACTTTAAAGAAAGAATGTTCTCTAAATATCTTGAGTGATTGGCTACTTCTAATAATGTTCTCTAAATATCTTCACTGACTGGCTACTTCTAATAATGTTCTCTAAATCTTCACTAACTGGCTACTTCTAATAATGTTCTCTAAATCTTCACTTATTGGCTACTTCTAATAATGTTCTCTAAATATCCTCACTGATTGGCTACTTCTAATAATGGCTACTTCTAATAATGTTCTCTAAATCTTCACTAATTGGCTACTTCAAATAATGTTCTCTAAATCTTCACTAACTGGCTACTTCTAATAATGTTCTCTAAATATCCTCACTGATTGGCTACTTCAAAAAAAGTTCTCTAAATCTTCACTAATTGGCTACTTCTAATAATGTTCTCTAAATCTTCACTAACTGGCTACTTCTAATAATGTTCTCTAAATCTTCACTAATTGGCTACTTCTAATAATGTTCTCTAAATATCCTCACTGATTGGCTACTTCTAATAATGTTCTCTAAATATCCTCACTGATTGGCTACTTCTAAAAATGTTCTCTAAATATCCTCACTGATTGGCTACTTCTAATAATGTTATCTAAATCTTCACTAACTGGCTACTTCAAATAATGTTCTCTAAATCTTCACTAATTAGCTACTTCTAATAATGTTCTCTAAATATCTTCACTGATTGGCTACTTCTAATATCAACATAACAGCCAATACTTGCTGTAATTAAAAAATTCTAAAGAATCTTTCAGAACATTTTCTTTAAGGAAATGTCAATAGAATAGATGTCCTGATAAGCGGTAGAAGATTTGTCTGATAAAGGTGACAGCATGGCCATTGAAATGTCACACTCAGATCTTTTACTTATTATGTTACAAGAACTATAAGGTGACAGTAATCATTGAAACGTTACAATTACATCTTCTGCATATGTTATAAGAACTACTATACTATACTAGTCAGAAAACAGCAAAAATGAACAACTTCTGTCATCTCACAATGAAGTTTTCAAATAGATTATTTTCAAAATACCCCCACCTGATTGACAGAATCATAACTTTTAAAATAAACCCTACCTGGTTATGTTTTCGTAACATTAAAATTACCCCTACCTGGTTGATGTTATTATAACTTTAAAATCCTCCCTACCTCGTTGATGTTATCATAACTTTAAAATCACCCCTACCTGGTTGATGTTATCATAACTTTAAAATCACCCTACCTGGTTGATGTTATCATAACTTTTAAAATTACCCCTACCTGGTTGATGTTATTATAACTTTAAAATCCTCCCTACCTGGTTGATGTTATCATAACTTTAAAATCACCCTACCTGGTTGATGTTATCATAACTTTAAAATCACCCTACCTGGTTGATGTTATCATAACTTTAAAATCACCCTACCTGGTTGATGTTATCATAACTTTAAAATCCTCCCTACCTGGTTGATGTTATCATAACTTTAAAATCCTCCCTACCTGGTTGATGGTATTACATCCCTTTGTAATAGTTCCAAGGTAAGCCATTAGACATACATCATTGCATTGCTGAAAAATAGGATAGATAAGACTCATCATTATCATTAAACTACACAAGCCCACTGGACCTTTTCCCCATTTAACTATACACATTATGAATTCAAGCTAGAAAGCACAATGAAAAAAAAAGAACAGAATTCATGTATAATTAATATATCCAATGAACATATTAAAACAAGCATATGTCATAAAGTTGAGTAAACATTTAACAATGTTTGACCAGGGTCTAATGAGAACAGAAAACTTCTGTAAGTTATCTGATGTAATGGTAGATAGGTCAGACACAGGGACATCACAAAAGCCAATCTAATTACTACAAATTAAGAAAAATGTTTAGGAGAATTTTAACTTCAAATTCAAATGAAATACTATTTCTTGTATATGCTTTTAAATAACTTCCTATAATTCATAAATTCTACATATGCCAAGTGTTTTGGATATAATGGAAATTCAGGACCACTATATATCAATATTTTTTGGTCTGAATTGGGCTCCAGAAATAAGTTTATAGATTCTGACTTTCATTTTCTGATCAAATTTACACTGCTGTACTATCAAATGTCTGCTTCGCTCACCACAAGTGTTTACATGCTACATTCAGTCTTGATTACCTTACATTATGACCAGATATTTCTGATTAACTACTCTGTTAGGATTGATATAAATGTTCAGTGAGTAAATACTTTAATCTTACGTTATAGAAATCTGCCTTAAACCGATCAGTGTTGAGTACCGGAAGTCGATAACACAAACTGTAGGCATCTCTCAGTATATCGTGATTTTTAGGTACTTCTCCTGAAAAAAACAAAAACACAGTTCTATTAATTGAAAATATTATCAAAGTACAGAATGTTTTCGGTGAAAATTGAGCTACACGTTTCAAATCAAATGTTGGATCTTTTCTATTCTTTTCTCTGTCTTGCTTTTAACTAAATGAAATCAGAAATTTTCTCTAAAGAAATAGTAATAAATAATCTTTGTCAAATTCAAGATTGTCACCTGTCTGCCATTCTGTTTTTCAGATCAATCCAAAAATTAAATGGTACAACTATGGACACATAAATTTTTGAGAAAGACTTATCCAGTATCCCACAAAATAGTGATAACAATCTTGCATGGTCAAAATCCAAGCTTGATGATTTCCTGTCAGCCATTTTATGTTTTCTATCACAAAATCAAAAGGGCACAACTAGGGATCAATAGGAATCTATTTATAAAACATGAGAAATAACCATCCATTTCTCCTCAACAAATAGTGATGACAAAATTTCATAGTCAAAATCTTCAGTGGCCGCCAGTTAGCCATCTCGATTTTCTGATCATCTCCAAAATCAAAAAGGACCAGGAGGAAGCTACAATTAAATTTTTGAGAATGACCCATCCAGTTCCTGAGAAATTGCAATAACAAACTTTCCTAGCCAAAATCCAAGATGTCCACCTGTCAGCCATTTTTTTAAACAAATGGCCAACATGCCTTAAGGGTACTCTAACTACACAAACCTATACATGTATATGAAAGAGGCCAAAATGAAATGCTCAACTACACTACAGCTTACACAGACATTTTCTGAAAACTTGAAATCATATTCTTGATATAAGCATAACACAATTGCTGAAAAAGCATGCTACTGGCCCAATAAAAAGAACCTTGGCCTTTTGGTTATTGAGAACTTGATTCAACATTCCAACACATTTTACACCTGTGACCTTTACAGTAGGCCAAGGTGAACACACTTGGTAGCCCTTAATCCCAGCATGCTACAGGCTTAATATCAGCATCCTAGGCCTTTTGGTTATTGAGAAGTCATTTACACATTTTACCATCTATTTGACCCCTGTGACCTTCAAAGTTGGTCAAGGTCATTATATCTACAAACTTTGTAACCCTTCATCCCGTGATGCCACAGACCGAACATAAGCACCCTGAGCCTTTTAGTTATTGAGAAGAAATTTATTAAAAATTCTGACACATTAGACCCCTGTGACCTTGAAAGCAGGTCAAGGTCATTCATATGAACAAACCAAGTAGCCCTACATCCTAGCATGCTACAGACTCAACATCAGCACCCCTGGCCTTTTGGTTATTGAGGCTCAGTAAAATTTGTAATGAGTTACATAAAATCTCATATGAAATGGTAATGAATGTAAGATTCTGTTTATCATATCAATTGCATTCATTTTTAAATACAATATTTCATTTGACTAAAAACAAAATCTAAATGGATGATTTTATCCTTTCATATCTCTTTTTTGATGACATCATAATGTTTATGATTTCATGAAGCAATGAAGTCATACAGGAAACTTTTTGTCAATTACAGCTCTATCAAGTCATATCATATGTGTGACATTTACACTTATTTATGTAATAAGAGTTTGGTGAAATGTGACATCATCAAAGAAACAGATGTAGAGTGAAAATATCACCAATCTTTATTTTTTATCATTCTAATCAAATGCTGATTTCGCAAATGTTTGCAAAAGTGAAAACAGAATCTTACATTAATTCAATTTTATATGAAATTTCTGAAACATTAATTTTTCATTTTATCTTGCCAGAAGCTAGAAAAAATTGAAATTTTATGACTGATTTGAAAAATCTCATGTTATTTGAAACTTGTGTATCCTTCACTCTAATATATACAGAAATGACATTCCACTGGGGCACACTCACCTGCCTGTACAGCCTTAATGTACTCAAGGATCAATTTAACACGACTGTGTAACATCTTGATGGAACTGTGCTGAGCCACTAAGTGTTCTGCCACTGTCAACAAACATTTACACAACATGAACACATTCTATTGTCCAGAGGCAAGATAGATGATAAACACTGCATTCATATCCAAAAGTGTTAAATTCATCAAAGTTTCAAAAGACCAATGTAGCGAAAGTCATGATCTATTTCCATGCCTCTGCCAGGATTCAAACCCAGGACCCCTGGCTTACTTGTCTGATACTCAACCGATCGCACTAAAGAGGTATTCTCTCTAGCCAATAATATAATTTGCGATAGAAAAATAATAAGCATCGATGGCATAGCTTACAATACAAGATTATCATCACATCACATTCTAGTTTATTCACACTCATTATATATATGTTTAAAGAATAAAAGAAACATACATTTGTCATAAACTTGTGTCTGAAATTATCATGTAAAGGACATAACTTCACTTTCCTTGATGAATTGACAAAGAAGAACAGAGAATTGGAAATAAAAATACAAGGGTTTCTTTCCTAAAAGAATAGGATTGTCTATCAAAGTCTTTGCCAATGTATTTCAGGTACAGACCCTATATCGGAACATTTATTATCTAATAGATATTAACCATATGTCCTTTTACTTATCAAACTTACACAGATGTATGATTTCTATGGTCTGATAAAGTTCTTTGTTATACATGAATAAATGGCACTAAATGTAATGAGATGAATTTCTAAAACACCGTCTTCCCACGCCTACGGTAGTCATTCACATAGTCAACACATGTAGTAAAATTTCTGGTATGATGACGCATTTAGGTAAATACATTATTTCCGAACAGCTTGACTTTGTGTAACAGCATATTTAGTTGAAATCAACATTTTTTTTTAAATAAGAACTAGCATTTATAAGCTATATTGGCTTTAGCATTGAAAGATAAATACCATTTGAACTATCCCCAGCATCCATGGCTGTTACTCTTGCAACATGGTCAACCCCTATTCTCTCAGCTTCCTCTGTCGCAAGTGTGTATTGTAACTCAACGAGTAGCATGGTGGCCTGAAACAGGAAGTGAAATTAGTCTTGTAGGACAATTTGGAATATGAAACACTTAAAAAAAGGAATGTTTACAAATCTTTTATACTGCTTTTACTGATAACGATAAAAAAATTTATTGTTTAGTAACGAAATCCATACAGAGGATAAAATTTCATTTTTATAAGAACATGACCTGTACTACAATATAAACCTTTTAACACTGTATAACTATGAAATTAAACAAATTTATTTTGGATGTCCTTTGATCAAGATTATACTTTACGAATTCCTCAGCTATCTAAACTGATATAATTTCAATTTAATATTCCCTAGTATGTTATATATGACAATCTTTTCTGGACAAAAGAAACCTGAGAAAATGAAACTAGATTATATTATGTAATGAAACAAGACTACAAGCAAGTACATATGTACAACCCAGCAAAGAATTCAGTCTTCACGATAAATGTTGCATCTCTATAGTTTTCTCTGGAACCTTCCCTACTAACACCAGTTTTTAACAATTTGTGTGTTTGGGAACCTCAAGAAAACTCTTGTTAAGGGTACAATTGCATCAGTTAAAATCACAATGGAGATTGCCTCATTTCTTGATAGATTGAATGTCTGCTTTAATGCCTTTAAGCAGATGAAACAACATTGCTATTTTAAAAGTACACTTGTAATAACTAATCTGAACTCTGTCTTCACCTAATGTAAAGAATTTTAACACTTTTTGTTGCAAGGTTTTTTTTGTGTGTAATGTATGAAATTTCTTCTTAGTCACATAAAAAACCGATCAAAATGTTAATGTGTGTAAGCCTTTAAAAATATTGATGTTGAAGAAAAGCATCAGCACACATATGGTATGACAGTAGAGATCACAGAGGCCGAGAGGAATGATTATAGAAAGTTGTCTGATCTGAGATACAACATGGATCAGTGAAGTTCCTAAAGCAGCAAATTCCACCGGAAGAAGAACAAAGGAAAACTGGTCTACAAAATATTTTTGTGTATCAATCATTTCGTATCCCAGGAATTTTGATGGATAAAATTTTTTAATTCTGGACTCATGTTTCTTAAAATGCATTGTTCTCTGTTCATCAATATTACATCACATGAAATGTTTGTAGATTCTTTGTGGTTTACACATTTAATCATTGTTATTTTGAATTTTATTTTTGTGGTTTGTCTGTAACCACAAAAACAGCAGAACTTTCAACAGAATGATCATTTTGTCTTATACATCATCGTGTGTTAATATTTCATGGAGACATGTAATGATGTTGACAGGAAACCATCAGTTTAAACCTTACAGGAACTAATTCCCATGATATCACTTACTTCGTTGTTGATAAGGTCTATCACAGATTCATAAATGGAAACCGGCAGCTATAAAAAACATGAAAATAATATTATAAGTATGTTTCAGAATGTAAAACTCACACAGCAGCAACCCTGTAATAATATGCAATTTCTTCAACAAGCAAAATGTAATTGATTTCAATTACGTGGTGTAAAAATTTGACTGTGCAAAACACTGAGGACCATATTAGGACAAGGAATCCTTGGGGTGACACAGTGGAAATGCAAATAGCCTTTCACATTTCAAATCCTTGATCAAGTGTAAAAAGGGATGGAGTCACCTGCTGGGTTTGCCTTGGGACTTTTTGCTATAACAGTAAGATCCCTCATGCATTTCAATCAGGGCCAACAAGATTGATTTATAAAAGCTAAAAGCTTATTTCACAACTGTTGTAAAATACTGTATAATACAGTTTATATTCATTGAAGTACATTAACTAGAGGGGAGATATATATACCATTTCAAAATTAACTCCATGATAAAGGTAAATTGTGGAATATAGAAATTCAATATTGCAGATACTGTTGCTCAGCTTTGATAACTTACATCTGTTTGTCTGGAGAGTGGGTTCATCTTCATTAAGATAGGACTTTCATTAATTTGACACACCTGAAAATATATAAAATATATATAATACCTTATTATTTTACACGGCAGAATTAAAATGCAGCGAGACAGAAATGGGTTTTCATTACAGCAGTCAGATAGAAATGGGTTATAATTACAGCAGTCAGATACAAATGGGTTATAATAACAGCAGTCAGATAGAAATGGGCTATAATAACAGCAGTCTGATAGAAATGGGTTATAATTACAGCAGATAGAAATGGGCTATAATAACAGCAGTCAGATAGAAATGGGTTTAAATTACAGCAGTCAGATAGAAAAAGGTTATAATTACAGCAGTCAGATAGAAATGGGTTATAATTACAGCAGTCAGATAGAAATGGGCTATAATTACAGCAGTCAGAAAAGGGTTATAATAACAGCAGTCAGATAGAAATGGGTTATAATAACAGCAGTCAGATAGAAATGGGCTATAATAACAGCAGTCAGATAGAAATGGGTTATAATAACAGCAGTCAGATAGAAATGGGCTATAATTACAGCAGTCAGATAGAAATGGGTTATAATTACAGCAGTCAGATAAAAATGGGCTATAATTACAGCTGTCAGAAATGGGTTTTAATAACAGCAGTCAGATAATAACAGCAGTCAGATAGAAATGGGCTAAAATAACAGCAGTCAGATAGAAATGGGCTATAATTACAGCTGTCAGAAATGGGTTATAATAACAGCAGTCAGATAATAACAGCAGTCAGATAGAAATGGGTTATAATAACAGCAGTCAGATAGAAATGGGTTATAATTACAGCAGTCAGATAGAAATGGGCTATAATTACAGCAGTCAGATAGAAATGGGCTATAATTACAGCAGTCAGAAATGGGTTATAATAACAGCAGTCAGATAGAAATGGGTTATAATAACAGCAGTCAGATAATAACAGCAGTCAGATAGAAATGGGCTAAAATAACAGCAGTCAGATAGAAATGGGCTATAATTACAGCTGTCAGAAATGGGTTATAATAACAGCAGTCAGATAATAACAGCAGTCAGATAGAAATGGGTTATAATAACAGCAGTCAGATAATAACAGCAGTCAGATAGAAATGGGTTATAATAACAGCAGTCAGATAGAAATGGGTTATAATTACAGCAGTCAGATAGAAATGGGTTATAATAACAGCAGTCAGAGAGAAATGGGTTATAATTACAGCGGTCAGATAGAAATGGGTTATAATAACAGCAGTCAGATAGAAATGGGTTATAATAACAGCAGTCAGATAGAAATGGGTTATAATAACAGCAGTCAGATAGAAATGGGTTATAATTACAGCAGTCAGATAGAAATGGGCTATAATTACAGCAGTCAGATAGAAATGGGTTATAATAACAGCAGTCAGATAATAACAGCAGTCAGATAGAAATGGGTTATAATAACAGCAGTCAGATAGAAATGGGTTATAATTACAGCAGTCAGATAGAAATGGGTTATAATAACAGCAGTCAGATAGAAATGGGTTATAATTACAGCAGTCAGATAGAAATGGGTTATAATTACAGCAGTCAGATAGAAATGGGTTATAATAACAGCAGTCAGATAGAAATGGGTTATAATTACAGCAGTCAGATAGAAATGGGCTATAATTACAGCAGTCAGATAGAAATGGGCTATAATTACAGCAGTCAGAAATGGGTTATAATAACAGCAGTCAGATAGAAATGGGCTATAATAACAGCAATCAGACAGAAATGGGCTATAATAACAGCAGTCAGATAGAAATGGGTTATAATAACAGCAGTCAGATAGAAATGGGCTATAATAACAGCAGTCAGAAATGGGTTATAATAACAGCAGTCAGATAATAACAGCAGTCAGATAGAAATGGGTTATAATAACAGCAGTCAGATAGAAATGGGTTATAATTACAGCTGTCAGAAATGGGTTATGATAACAGCAGTCAGATAATAACAGCAGTCAGATAGAAATGGGTTATAATAACAGCAGTCAGATAATAACAGCAGTCAGATAGAAATGGGTTATAATAACAGCAGTCAGATAGAAATGGGTTATAATTACAGCAGTCAGATAGAAATGGGCTATAATTACAGCAGTCAGATAGAAATGGGTTATAATTACAGCAGTCAGATAGAAATGGGTTATAATAACAGCAGTCAGATAGAAATGGGTTATAATTACAGCAGTCAGATAGAAATAGGTTATAATTACAGCAGTCAGATAGAAATGGGTTATAATAACAGCAGTCAGATAGAAATGGGCTATAATTATAGCAGTCAGATAGAAATGGGTTTAAATTACAGCAGTCAGATAGAAAAAGGTTATAATTACAGCAGTCAGAAATGGGTTATAATAACAGCAGTCAGATAATAACAGCGGTCAGATAGAAATGGGTTATAATTACAGCAGTCAGATAATAACAGCAGTCAGATAGAAATGGGCTAAAATAACAGCAGTCAGATAGAAATGGGCTATAATTACAGCTGTCAGAAATGGGTTATGATAACAGCAGTCAGATAATAACAGCAGTCAGATAGAAATGGGTTTTATAATAACAGCAGTCAGATAGAAATGGGTTATAATAACAGCAGTCAGATAGAAATGGGTTATAATAACAGCGGTCAGATACAAATGGGTTATAATAACAGCAGTCAGAAATGGGTTATAATAACAGCGGTCAGATACAAATGGGTTATAATAACAGCAGTCAGATAGAAATGGGTTATAATTACAGCAGTCAGATAGAAATGGGCTATAATTACAGCGGTCAGATAGAAATAGGTTATAATTACAGCAGTCAGATAGAAATGGGTTATAATAACAGCAGTCAGATAGAAATAGGTTATAATTACAGCAGTCAGATAGAAATAGGTTATAATTACAGCAGTCAGATAGAAATGGGTTATAATAACAGCGGTCAGATAGAAATAGGTTATAATTACAGCAGTCAGATAGAAATAGGTTATAATTACAGCAGTCAGATAGAAATAGGTTATAATAACAGCAGTCAGATAGAAATGAATGAAGATTTGTTTTGGACTTCAGTAAGAATATCCATACATAGAGCAGCTTTATATAATTGTGATTTGATATACCTATTTATTTTTCACTTGTTCTGTGTATATATAGTACACAATCCTCACAATAGGAACAGTCTGACCTTATATAACTTTATTATAACAACCTGCTCAGTGAACCAGAGAGGTATCAATGTAAAATCACCTGTAGTTAATGGTAATAGGTGTGATAATTGAATGTCAACACAACTCTGTCATCCTGATCTAATGATATATTTACCTATTTACACTTACTATCACTGTCATTTGTTTGTTTTATAATGCTCTTTCGCATCAAAGAAATTAAACAATTTTCTTATGAGAATCATTTTTCAATGGCAAGAATTTAGAGAAAATCTACTTCCAATAATATCAATTAGAATAAACATAAATTTAAGGGATCCCCCCATCCCCTCCCCCATCTCCTCCCAAACCCCTAAATCTACTACTGTACATCACAGTAATCAGAGCAATTTGTAAATCTAAAGGTATTGTAAGAAGCTCAGGAGAATCCATTAACTGATTGATTATCAAAAAACAAAATCCATTTATGTGCAAGTGTATTATTTGTGTCAGAAAAATATTCTGTAGAGTCGAGCACTGCAAATGATCCATATATAGCATTGTAGTTATGGTGAAAAATCTTTAAATTAATTCAGGCATGACTAAAGTTTTCATCTTTAATTATGTCATGCTTCAGCTGTCAGTCTGAATCTTTTCACCCTTCATTAGAATTCAAGGTTATTTAATTAGTTACAATGTTGGGTATAATCGATAAAAGTATTGATTGTCACCAGCTTCACATTTACCAGAGATCTACAGGCACTGATATAAAATTATGGAGAATTTTTCACACATTTTCCTTCTTAAATTCTGACCATATATACACTTTTTGAAGTAAAATCAAGAGAAATCTCACATCAGTTGATGATGCTTTCACCAGGAAACAACCCAAGTAGAGGTTTAAAGGGCTTCTAGCACTTGTAGGTAACAAACCAAGCAGATGTTTAAAGAGGGCCTGTATCACTTATTAAACAAAACACACAAAGAGAGGTTCACAGGGCCTGTATGATTTATTAAAGACAACCCAAGAAGATGTTCAAAGGGTCTGTATCTCTTATAAAAAAAAGCACACAAGTAAAGGTTAAAAATGCCTGTATCACTTATTAATTAAAGACAACCAAAGCAGAGGTTCAAAGGGCCCATATCACTGATAGGAGGAAACAACCCAAGCAATGGTTAAAAGGAGCTTGTATTGCTTATTAAAGACCACCCAAGCAGAGCTTCAAACAGCCTACATCACTTATTTAATAACAACCGAAGCTGAGATTCAAAAGGCCTGTATCACTTATCAGAAACAGCTCTATCAAAGGTTCAAAGGGCATTTATCACTTATAGGAAACAACCCAAGCAATGGTTAAAAGGGCCTGTATCACTAATTAGATAACCAAACAAGAGGTCCACAGGACCTGTTTTGCTGACGACAGAAAAAGACCCTGAACATTTATACATCCCTGGAAGATGAACATATCTCATTTAATTAATAAATGATTGCTTTTTCTTAATGAAGTTTTTGACCAAATTTGGTTGCATTAAGGCATTATGGTGAAATAGTTATTTAACTTAAAGTTAAGCTGATTTTCCACTTGAGGCTCTGTGCCCCTTTCACCAGGGGTCAAAACAACTTCTTTTATTTCAGAATTGATTACCCAACACCAATGACCAAATTTTGTTGAAATCCACTTAGGAATTAAGGAGAAGAATTATTTTAAATCTTCCCCTTCAAAAATGACAATTAAACAAGAGGTTCAAGGGCCTGTATTGCTTATTAGATGACAACTACTCTAGAAGTACAAAGGGTTCCAACACTAAGCAGATGCTAACCAAACTAGACCTGTCATCCTGAGGATAACTAATATCCCATGCCGATACAAAGACCTCTTCAAACCAAAAGTCATAACTTCATGAAAAAGTGAAAAACAGATGAAAATAATTTTCAGCATTCCCTATTACCTCTATTTACAAAATTAAGTAAAGGTCAGACAATATCTGAATTTCAATTTATAAGAGGCCACAATTTGCCACAGCATGTCATGACAATAAAACATAAACAGTGAAAATCCGCTAATGCCCCTAAGAACCAAATTTGTCCAAATCTTGCAACAGCTTAATCTCAACCAATCAGAGGCCACCATCTACCTTAGCATGGTTGTCCTGGCAATGAAACACATTGTTATATCTTGCTTCCCCTTATACACCTGTACACCAAATTTGATCAAAAACAGAAAATATCTACTTGACATTAGTAACTGTTACTGAAACAATGAATGACATCTACTATAGACTTTCATTATGGTTCCTTTTGACCATAGTCAAATAATAAAATCTGTTGAATGACCGAGCATTAATGGCCATTAATAGCAAAACTTATTTACAGTTACAAATTACCATGGCAACCAAAATCTCCAAACTACAAATGGTCCAGACAGACAGACAGACAGACAGACAGGATGAATCCAGTATACTCTCAGGCCACCCTTACCCCCCAACACACCACATCCCGGCTCCTAACTATATTACAGGGGGTATAACAACAGATCCTTTTACTTCATGAATAATAACCAACAAGATGTCCAAACAGACTTGCATCATGCACAAGATAACAGATTAACTTCAAAAAATGAGGTCAATTAAAGGGCTGCTATCTTAAGCACTGATCAAGTACCTGTAAACAAAAGGTCAAAAGGGTCTGTAATATAGAAAGCTTTTCATAATAACTGTAGTTTAAATTTTCAGACTACCACATGTCATTCATGTTTGACACAAAACCTTGATTATAGGAACACAAAGTATACAGTCGTTGCCCTAAATCATCCAAAGAAGTATTATTGTGTGTAATGATCATCACCTTTCTTAAGCGTCCTCAGTTACCACTATCCTATGATAATTACCTGTTTATGTACGTTGATATCAGACTGAGTAGGACCGTCTCCTGTTGTGTACCACCCAAGGAAATCCATGTCGCTAAAAACTTGTTTAACTGTGAACAAAATATCAATAATTAATGTATAAATACTTATATGAATCACATCACTTAAAAGTACAGATGTTAAAGACCATTCTCAGAAAAGCCTTTCACGACCTTGCTATATAGAGATGTTTACCAGGTGAACATTTCCTGTATTTATCATTTATCCATGCCTGATAATTAGCTTATTGATGTATATATGTAAATAAACACCTATATTTACTAATCAACATAAGTAAAAGTTGTCCTGTAATAAGTCCATACTGAGTGAGTTCGAGATTATGTGCTGAAAAAGGTCCATAACTGTTGATCAACAAAAAACAACAAGAAAATAACAACAAATGAACATAACCATGATCCAAACTAAATTCAATAAAACTAGATTTTACAAATTTTTATGAACACTAAACATTTTTTTGCATTGGTTCATTTTTAATATTCAAAATTTCTTGAAGTTTGATTTCAGAATTATGAATTTTTTTTATATATTCACTTCATTATTTCAATACAAATCCCTTCCCACCCATCTATAATGAAGTTGTGTTTCATCTAAGATTTTCTATAAATACCAGTAGTAACAGTGACCTTAAGGTTGACCCTGGCATGCTGAAACATGAACTTGTTTAAGGTATTGTGATACTTGACCATTATGTGATGTTTGATTAAAATTAGATGAGAAATGAAGTTTATTAAAAAGTGATCACAAAAAGTGAACATACATACTGAAGTAAGTACGGAATATATTATATCCCCTCTGCGGTTGTTATGAGGGGATAATAACTGTAAATAATTGTGAATGCTTACACTGTTCCTCTTTGGTGTTGTAGTAGTCCATGTTGATTATAATAGCATCTTCAATTACATCAAACACAAGCTCAAAGGAATTCATCACCTCAATGTTTCTGCCTTTCTGTTTTCCAATTAAGGCCCCTATAACTGTTAATAAACAAAAAAGACTTTATGATAAATGTAATTACTCATGTATCAATAACTATATTTTGGCAAGAAAAATATTTTTGTGAAAATATGTTACCAGTAGCTAGGTATACTACGAAGAATGTAAATACATGTAAATATACCCAGTACACAAACTGTTTGAAAGCAGTATAGACTGCCTGTTGAGGACATATTTCATTTCAAAACAAATTTACCCCTATTTGGCCCCATTGATATGAAAAATATACAATGTAGTTCAGATTATTGCCAATAATTCATATTAATGCTTGAAATTTATTATTTTCATGCAAGTGCCCTGCGACATTTGTTATCTAGTACTGCTTAAAATTAATGTGCTAAAAACACTTAAATGTAAGACTAGCTTGTTCCCAAAATTTACAAACAGGAAAATACCCTTTTTGGACCCTATAAATAGGAAAAACATGGTTCAGCATATTAATAATAATTCATTTTAAAGCTTGAACTATTCAACCAGGTAATTTTTGTTGGATTTTATCAGATGAATCCACAACACATTTTCCAAAATTTCTATCAATCCTGTTACTTAAGAGATGTAGTGGGTTTCCAAAATTTGGGTGTGTCCCACAGGAGTATAAGTCCAAGACTTAGATATCAGAGTAAAAAAAATGCTGTTGTATAATCAACAGCTCCTAGCTAAAAAATAAGGTGATTTACATTTACAATAAGAAAAAAAAGGAATACATCAAACATAAAAAAAACTTTCAGACAAAATTCAGTTGGATGAATTTGTTTTTTTGTTATAACAACAGGATAGAAGCTCCTTGTATGCTATCAACACTGGGTGTAGGCAGTATCACAGACACAATTGCGTTAATCATCGCTTTGAGGGGGTGTCACTTTTTAAGTGAGGGGAATATAAATGGAGTCTTCAACTTGAAATATTTGCAGGAATTGATACATAGATAATTATAAGTCTATGTTCCATTGTGGGCAAACTCTTTATCTCCCACACTCCCAACCCACATCCTATATGAGTTATCCCGATACACGACAGCATCTGCTATTGACTATAAAAGTTTGTAGACTTTTTGTGTGAAAATATATAATATTGCAATGGTTATGGGGGTCATGTCAATAGAATCAAATTCTTTCATTTTCACAATGTTGAAAAGAACATTATGTTTCTCTATTTCAAATGATTCTGTAGACTGTAGTAGACAGTGTGAGTAATTGATCATTTAAAGCAGTAACATGTGTCCAACCTGACAATCCCTCATGATTTGTGTGATCTACATGTATATAAATGCTTAATTTGAATTGAACACAAAGAATGCATTTTCATCGTGTAAATCGAAACAAAAGCGATTTAGAATAATCTGACGAGCAGTGTTAACTGGTTAAAACCTTGTGTCGGTTTGCCCTCTTGTGCCCGAACTCTCGTCCAATGTTCGGATATATTCATGATCACCAAAGGATGAAGAGAAACCGAAACACTTCCTGTAGCACCAGCGGATGCGATGACGCTAGAGCCAGGCGTATCCACATCCATCTTTGTTGCCATGTTCCTGATATATACGTCCTATGATTTAGGTCGAGATTTTCCTCTACAGTTCTCTTTCTCGCAAAAACTATAACAGGAAATGGAAGGGCGATAACTCCGTGAGTAACAGAAATAGGAGTCAGTCAAGCATTTTTCGAAGGCAGCTTTATAAGCTCTGTTAATAACCAAAATCCCAACAGACTTACATTTTTTATATTTTTATTCTAGAATTCTAGAGTATCTGCATTTTAACAGACGAAAATGGCTCAGAGGTGGCGTCCAGGCTTAATTTAGAGCTCGATGACAAGTAACAAGTAGACCATGTTACTGTATCCAGTCATCGTTATTTTTAAGACGTAACAATAAGTGGTTTATCCTTTCATTCTGTGCCATTTTGATGTCATAGATACCTGTGTTTGATTCGTATAGTGCGGCCTGCAAAATTATAGCAAGGTGCACTTGGAATGTTACAAGATTGCACTTACATGTACAGTGAAATTGAAAGCATTTTGTTAATTTTTTCTTCATTTTTATTAGTTTTCATACATTATGTTAATTTCTTATCGCTGCAAATATTGATTATAAACTATTTCCCCTATTTTTAGACTGGTGTTGCACGATACCATTTCCTGAATTTTCAACACCTCCGCTTCCTCCCTTTATATCTCATATTAAGTTATAAAAGGTCAATTTTATTGTTCCAATTGCCAATCAACATTTTTTTCTGAAACACTTACTTCTCAATTGTATTTCAAAAAAAAAATATAATAAAACAAATACATAAAAGTCATGTAGGGAGGCTATTTAAACACTACAGACACAATAAATCTGTTGTCATTATTTTGTTTTCATGAAAATGTTCAAAGTATTTATTCTTTAAATCTAATTCATCGAAAGCAAAGAAAGGGTACATAATCGTAGCAAAATATACAAATTGTGTATAATGAAAGTCATCAATCATATGTAGTTCAATAAATATAACTATATATAAAACAATATCCTTAAATGTACTGTGAAATTGACGATGCTGTATTACTGAATTAGATTGAACAGATACAAAATCACTCACACAGGTATACAACATACGAAATGATGATTGATTATACAAATTTCCTTTAAAAATTGAGAATGTACACGTACATCTTCCTGTTACTTTAAATTGTTAAAAGAATTAGAAATGATGAATAAATACAAATATTCAGTAAAATTTATTCAAAGTGAAAATATCTAGACTTTTAAGTTAAAATGTTGCTATCACAACATTAGAGGTCGTGTGAATATTTCACCTGAAATAACATATCAAATACTTACATACTGCAGATGACATCGGAAGGCATATCATGATATCTAAAAACACAGAAAAGTTTCATGATAGAAAAATATGACGTTATCATACCTGGGTACCCTGGTCATGTGACATTTGTCTGTAGTTTATTGTATCATACCTAGGTACCCTGGTCATGTGACATTTGTCTGTAGTTTATTGTATCATACCTGGGTACCCTGGTCATGTGACATTTGTCTGTAGTTTATTGTATCATACCTTGGTACCCTGGTCATGTGACATTTGTCTGTAGTTTATTGTATCATACCTAGGTACCCTGGTCATGTGACATTTGTCTGTAGTTTATTGTATCATACCTTGGTACCCTGGTCATGTGACATTTGTCTGTAGTTTATTGTATCATACCTAGGTACCCTGGTCATGTGACATTTGTCTGTAGTTTATTGTATCATACCTAGGTACCCTGGTCATGTGACATTTGTCTGTAGTTTATTGTATCATACCTTGGTACCCTGGTCATGTGACATTTGTCTGTAGTTTATTGTATCATACCTAGGTACCCTGGTCATGTGACATTTGTCTGTATTTTATTGTACCATACCTGGGTACCCTGGTCATGTGACATTTGTCTGTAGTTTATTGTATCATACCTTGGTATCCTGGTCATGTGACATTTGATTATTGATTTCTTACTAACTGGGCCATAACTAAGTTCGGATGCCGAAATGATTTCCAAACGAATGTAAATTGAATTGGTGGTAGCCACATCACCTTCTTATCTAACACTGTCTGTCGGTTTTTTTTTACGGGAACTCCGGCTTTCCTGCACTTTCCAAACCTGGCACATCATTAAATGGCACTGGCTGTTAATAGGACGAAATAATAAACTAAACAGCTGATTTACGGGAACAAGAAAACATTTCTTGTTGTCTTATTTGTAAATACACCGTGTATTTTGTAAATTTCGATGTCACTGACCTTTCTTTTCAAATCAATAAAAAGGGAATTAATAAATCAATAGATTTTTGTAAAAATGGTACCTCATTAGCTGCTTTCTGCCATTTATTTAGAGGAAGTGATCGTCCCCAGTCGCCATTTCAACACTTTATGTCCTTTAACATTTCTGATGAATCCTCGAAGGGTGAAACAGACATAATTAGATGCAATTCAATTTATCATTTGGCTTTCTTCTTTCTAAACATAAATTTGTATTTGAAAAGCGCTAGTCCCTGTTGAATTTTGTATAATATTTGTTTATCGTTTCACTGTTACTTATAACCTGATCTGTTTAGGGCCTCATATTACTTTTTCTAAATGTCCATGTCTTGTGTCATCAACAAGACTTGCTCTTCTGGAACAGAAATATTCTCCATATAGTTTTCATGCATCTCTGAGCAAATCTTTGTGTAACTTATGTTTTCCATCGCAAAATCGATCTCCACACTTATGAAATTGTTGATTTAAGCAACAAACCTTGACGCACTACTAATAAATCAGTGTTGAATACAGTATTGACAAGGAAGACAACATGTGGTAGAAAGCCGCTCCATTCCCTACAAAACAGAACATGCTCGGATGGTTAGCTTAACAAGGCCTTTGCAGAATGAGCGTTTGATTAACATGCAATCTCATAATTTCATCTATGTTAGGAATAGACATCTCATTAGCTTAAATTCGTTGATAAACATCTTGTAACATAAACGTATAATGTAAGTGTGTTTTACGATGGATTTTATTGGTAAGTGATACCTATATTTTAGGAGGATAGGATACATCTAAAGAGTCAATGTATGACCAACTTAACATCAAATTAATTTTTTCTTTAAGTACTTTTACTCCAAGATGTAGAAGATAAAGACTTTACACAACAAGCGTTTTGAGGAGAATTAAGGTCCAAGTCTATATTTTATGACCCCCTCGATTGTTGCCATAGTAAAAGAAAAGTGTTACAGCAAAAGTACATTATGAGAATCTAAACAAATAGCATATTTCCCAGAACGCCCCCCCACCTTTTTTATGGTTTCGCAACGAAAACTGTTAGTTTATAATCTAGCATGGTTTGCAATATGTATATATAAATAAGTAAATACATGCAGTGGGTACCCATCTGTGAATCGAGTCATCCTAAAAGATGTATATCTATATACTATATAGATTATTACTTACGTAACTACACGTACTTATTTACTTCTTGGAACCAACGCACTGGTACCGTTCAATTCTTGTGGAACTCAATGAACACAGCATTATAGTGGTTATGGTAACACATACAACATGATGTTGGCGTGACGTTTTATACAGTTCAATTGGTACTGAGAAGAGTAACACATTATACGCCCGTTTGAATAGCTATGACGATGTTCAACAATAAGCGGAAACATATTGTGTTTTTGATGCTTATTGTTGGGAAAGTAATTGGTAAGTAATGAATTAAATACACTTATATCTTGAAGTCCATTAGATAATCTGTGAGTTCAAAAAACAGAAGAAACAGCTAAATAATTTTCAAATTGCAATGCTTTTCCGAGTTCCGAAGTCGTTAATATATTGAAAAAAGCGATGTAGAATGTGATTTTTTTTTCATTTTTCATGTAGTTTCATCGATATATCTTTTTATGTGGTTTTTTTTGTATCTGCAATGCCATCGTGGACAAACACACTTTTAGAATTTTATTTACAGATAATACATTTTAAACACACGTTTATTAGATAGCAGAGCATATTTTGTATATCAAATCAAGTACGAATGTAATTACTGGACCTGTATCACAGACTTAAAATGGAATGAAAGAAATATTTAGTTAAAGTGAATAGAACTACCTATAAGTAACTCTTACCTTACTAGTGTAAAAAAAATTATCATGTATTTCTGTATATATTAAGTGTATATTGATCTACATCAGTGGATATATTGAATACATCGTATACATGTTAATGTGTTGGGTGTTTATTGAAGTATATATACATGTTAATATGTCGGGTGTTTATTGAAGTGTATATATATACATGTTAATGTGGCGTATGTTTATTGAAGTGTATATATATACATGTTAATGTGGCGTATGTTTATTGAAGTGTATATATATACATGTTAATGTGGCGTATGTTTATTGAAGTGTATATATATACATGTTAATGTGGTATGTTTATTGAAGTGTATATATATACATGAAGTGTTTGTATATATACATGTTAATGTGGTATGTTTATTGAAGTGTATATATATACATGTTAATGTGGTATGTTTATTGAAGTGTATATATATACATGTTAATGTGGTATGTTTATTGAAGTGTATATATATACATGTTAATGTGGTATGTTTATTGAAGTGTATATATATACATGTTAATGTGGTATGTTTATTGAAGTGTATATATATACATGTTAATGTGTTGGGTGTTTATTGAAGTGTATATATATACATGTTAATGTGGTATGTTTATTGAAGTGTATATATATACATGTTAATGTGGTATGTTTATTGAAGTGTATATATATACATGTTAATGTGGTATGTTTATTGAAGTGTATATATATACATGTTAATGTGGTATGTTTATTGAAGTGTATATATAGTGTATATATATACATGTTAAATGTGTATATATATACATGTATGTTTATTGAAGTGTATATATATACATGTTAATGTGTTAATGTGGTATGTTTATTGGTATGTTTATTGAAGTGTTTATTGAAGTGTATATATACATGTTAATGTGGTATGTTTATTGAAGTGTATATATATACATGTTAATGTGGTAT